GAGTCCACAACATAACACTACTGAGGAAGAGTCCACAACATAACACTACTGAGGAAGAGTCCACAACATAATACTACTGAGGAAGAGTCCACAACATAACACTACTGAGGAAGAGTCCACAACATAATACTACTGAGGAAGAGTCCACAACATAACACTACTGAGGAAGAGTCCACAACATAACACTACTGAGGAAGAGTCCACAACATAATACTACTGAGGAAGAGTCCACAACATAACACTACTGAGGAAGAGTCCCTGACACATCATGTGCTCTGATTACACTGCTTACCAAGAATGACTTCAGGAGCACGATAGTGTCTTGTAGAAACAACAGTGCTGTGATGTTCATGATCAAATGTTGCTGATCCAAAGTCAATCAGACGCATGTCAGAACTTTTTACTTCTCTCTCATCTCGTTTCTGCAACAACAACAACATTAACAAATATATTTGCACAACAACAAAATACTATTGTAAGGGTTAAAAATACCTGTTCATAAAAACTCTGATGGACTTTCTTGACAACCTTATTTACACAAATCTAATTCTAGTACATAACAAGAAAACAAAACTTTGTTTACAAACCAGTCTTGGATTATATGTAACATTGCAGTCAGAATTCACAAACAGCATGTTTTCTGGTTTCAGATCAGTGTGACTCAGTTTCATATCATGAAGAACTAAAAATCAATCATCAGAAATAAGTATTATATATCAACAAAACTCTTGGGTTATACTCCTGTGTGGTCAGTACAGCTGATTGGCTATGGAAGCCAGAAAGTTAGGGGAAACAATAGTGCTCAAGTCTAAATGTATATCTGAAGATTCCTGACTGTAAATAGTTTTTAGTTTTAAAGTTCACTTATTCTGACTGAATAAGTTTGTGTGAATTGGTGAGTAATGATCCAAAAGCTATTCAACAACCAGTAGATATATATAAAAAAATTATAATAATGATTGTATGCACAAGGCAAAAGTTCTGGAAATAAGCCAATTGCAGGATTCAAACCAGTACTTAAATTTCAATGCCTTAGATACTCACACTTTACTGAAACAAGAAGTTGGTAGGAGATATGTCTGACTTGTTCCAGTGGATAAGGTTCATAATTGTTGTCCTTCTATTCATACAAATAATAAGAGAAGGCAATGATTTAAGTAATTTAGCAAATTGTCTGAACTAGATGCACAAAGTTTTTTTGTTGGTGACAGCGGTATGCCCAAGAGCTACACACAACAGTTGAACTTGTGACCTACCGGTCCATTTTTTAATGCTCAACCACCAAGCAATTTAATGAAATTCACAGGGTCCACAAGGTTTCATGATGTCGAAGAAAATGACGGTAGTCACAACAAGTAACAAGCAGGCACTGTTTGTTAATAGGTAATTTAGTGTTAACAACTGAGTTGAAAATGTAATTGGTCACCATAAAGGATAAAAAAGCTGATGTTTCGAGCGTTAGCCCTTTGTCAGAGTGATTTACAAAGGGCTAACGTTTGAAACATGGCTGATTTACGTCTTCAACTCAGTTGTTAACACTAAATTACCTGCTATACTCTCCCACTGACACAGCACCACAGTTTCTTTAGAAACTTACCCCCTTTATTACTGTTTGTTAATAGTTCAGATATAATAGAAATAGTAAATCATTTGTAAACTAAGGAAACTTTTTTTAAGAACAACTTAATGTGGATGGAACAATGAAATCAAGCAGAAAAACATATTTACTTAAAATAATAAAAAATTTGGATGGTCAGTCACTGAACAAAGAGGATTCACATCAGCAGAGTCAATACACTAAATAAAAACATTTAATTATGCTGTGGCTCAAAGGGAAACAGAAGCTTCTCAATTACCATGAAGTCAAACACACTCAGACCCATCTTCTCAAACACAAGACACATGTGGCCATGATGGTTAAACCAGTCGAGCAACACAATACACAAGCTGAAAGAAATGAAAAGAAGATCATGTTAAAACTATATAACAAGGTATCTTCAGTGATTATGATCATTACCATTGTGAGGGTCTTACAGTATTGAACAATGTATTGCAAGGAAATAAAACCTACAATGTAATTATTTTTCTTCACTTTCTAACTGCTATTTGATTAGTGGTAAAATTAACTTGGCTATCAATAGGAGACTACCATGTAACTGTGAAAATCAAAAACCTTCTTTTGATTTGACTCTAATGTGTCAATCATATGCTGACCAATCATGAATCAGTTCTAGACACACTAACAAACAACAAACTGGTAAGTGTTGCTGCTTGCAGTTTTGATTTCTCAAAGCTTCTTTTTTGGTGAAAAATAAGAATATCCTTTTCATTCTTCTGGTTCACAGTTTTCTAATGTTCAAAAGTAACACCCAAAGACCAAATCGCATAAGAGAGGTTAACATGACACTTTTTCTTATATAAGAACAAAAACAGTGAAGTGAAACAAAGTAAAACATTTGCACCTTCTGCCATTCCTATCTCTTTGCTGGATCTTTTCAAGTACTTTGATTTCTAGTTTTGCAGCTTCCCTATAAAATAATTATTTGACATAATACCTCATTAAAATTGAGAGTTGAAGAACTCTTTCAAGACAAACCTTGCTAAAATATTTGAACACTCCCAAGAATAAGTTATGCACAAACCTGTACTTTTCAACATTCTTGATCACTTTCACAGCAACATATGAATTACTTTTTCTGTCAATACAAAATTATTGTCTTTTAAATACAGCTCCATCTCATGAGAATAAAAGTGTAGTAACAGACCACTACCCTCCCCAACACAGCTTTATTTTGGCAGTATGTATGATAAAAACAATACTTGTCAAAAACTCTCAGGATGATTTGACTCAATTAAGGAGCCTATGTCAGACAAATGAAGCTGGAATGTTACTTTCAAACTCATTTGAAAAATGTGAAGACTAAAAATGGGAAAGTTTTCCTGTTACACCCTGATTTAAGTTTCTCTAATCTTCCTCTCACCAAATAAACAATCCAACCATGGTTCCAATGCTCAAGGTTCTTCAGGTTTGACAGAAACAAACAAGGAAGTTTTTCTAGAATCTTAAACTCTACTGACACAACAAACTAACCTGTCATAACAATCCAAGACTTTCCCAAATGTTCCCTCACCTAACAGTGTGTTAATCTCATCTGAAAGAAAACCAAACAACCAAGTCAAATATTGAGAAAAGAAGCACTTCCATATTGATCTTTATCCCATGATCAGATTATCAAAGGAAATCAAAATTGAACAAATACTACAGCTTTAGTTGTTTTAGTAATATATGTTGTGTCCCAATAGAAGATGTACATAGGGTTAAATATAAAAGCACAGTGATCAACATTTCACAATGCAAACAAGAATACTGTGGCCAGTAGTACAGTAAAATTACCAGCCAGTCATTTCTAGAAGGTGAGAACAAGTTCCAAGGCTAAGGAAGTATAATTTAGTAACATGTATCTACCAGTTACTGAATGAAACAAGAAAAATTAGTACATCTGGAGTGCAGCATGTCGCCCTGGTGATATATCAGGTGACCGTCGTCATCATCCTTGTTACTTGAAAAGCATCTGCCCGGATCATCCACACATGTTGGCTTCTGTGCAACCGGTGCAGCATCCGTTTCACGCGTACAATTCAATCATTCATAGACATATTTCACAGGAAGGCATGGGCGCAATTCATCCCGACATCATAATTTGCATCAGCATGATCACATCCGGAGTTCCACCCCATTTTCAAACATATAGAAAATAGCAAAATATACACACACAGCAAACACATAAGTTTATTTGGAAGGAAAAGCATCTATCTCTTAGGAAATATTCCATTATCATTTGTGAAAGTTAAGCTCGTTCTTGACAGTGAGCTTCCATACTTCCATGGATAAATGTCTCGTTAAAAATAAGTTATTTCTTCAAGAGAGCTTTATCTTAAACAAAAGATTATTGAATGAGATAGCCATGAATATATGGATAAGGTATGTAATAGAGCTATATTATCACATGCCACTATTGCCCCAGTGATGTGCAGATTATTTTCAGCCACAATCTTTGGATGGCTTTGAAAAGCTCATTTCCACTATTAAGAGTGAATATTTAATCATTCGCAGATGGGTAGATTCCTTAAAAAAAGTGCTTATTATCGAATTAATTAATTTAGGACAGGCTCATAAATTCGGATGAAAGGCAGCAAATTGAACGTGAAACTCGTCACACCACCATTCGCTGTTTGTCGCTCGACTCTGAGCACATGTCGCGTGTGTAGAATTCAAAACAATTGAAATCTACAAGATGGTGACCATTCATTGAAAATAGTCTTTATAACAAATCATGTACTTTCGATTAGATGCAGCAAAGCCATAATTTTTCGAACGAATATAATTAGTTAGTCACAAGTAACAAGTATCCGATCTCCAAATAATTCCAGAGTCTTGAAGCGGAATGGCAATTTTCACTAGGAGCTGATTGTTTGATTAAGATGAAGACTGTTTGAACACTTTAGTAGTACAACTTCACCCTCCGATTGACTATACCACAAAAAACAAAAACACTAATGTGGCTTCTTACCGCGTGACTATCGGGAAAATCATTACGATGTTTGTGTCTTCTTGTCTTTCGGTCACTTCGTCGGGTACTGCGGCTTCGATTTCTTGTCAATTGACGATTATGCCTCCGCTCCCGGCTACGAATTGGTGAACTGCCACGTTTTAAATGGCGAGTTTCAGAGACAGGGCTGTATTCTCTTTCTAGGCATCGATGTTTAGAGTAATAAGAAACTAGACTATCTTCTCCTGAGCTAAGAGAACGTTTTCTTCGACCGTTTCTTGGCATTTTACTCTTAGTAACTGACACAGTGAGACTATCAGAAGATGGCGCTCCAACTGGTACTCGTAAAACTGGACAAACAGGTTTTTGATGATGTCATAATGGTAATGACATACAACTGTCGTGACGTCCAGTCTCGAGCCCAGGGTCACTTTGGCTCCTTGTCAGCAGTCCCCGAAAATGGCGGCCATCAGAGGTGCTTCCTTAAAACATGTTGCTAGAGTAACTGTTTCGTTTTGCCCTTTTGACCCAAAAACGGCGACAGCAAGGTAATTACACCCTTTTGACAAAATTCATTGCTACAACCTGAATGTAACGTTATACTCACACAACTTAGAGATCGTTCAACCTCTCGCATTATATTCTGCTTGTAAGATAAAACACGAGAGGTTGAACCTTTTTTAGTGATAGATACCATTCAAAACAGACGCAAATAATTTAATTTTTAAATTTGTTGATATTTCTGTGAAAATGTTTTTTTCACGTGGTATTTTTTATTTACACCATGATGTTTCAAAACAAATTACCAGAGGAATAATCTTGGTACATATCTACTGGGATTGGCTTTTTGCACGTCACTCTCTTTAAAAAGTTGTGAATACTTGTGCAGCTGATGCTACGTAGCTTGGCTCAAAATCCACTTTCAGCCTATCAGTAACACATTTGACTGTTTTTTAATTTTTAGAGACTTCCTTTTAAGAGTTTCATGTCGAAGAATGATAGACTCCAATCCTAAATGCCAGGTCATATCAAATTTCAAGAATGATGGATCAGAACCAGTTGTTGATGTTGTCTTTAGTGAGTAACATTTGTTTACCTTCCCATAACTTCGGCAAACCTGATTAAAAGTCAAATGGCCACCTTCTAGTGACTGCCTTGTTATCTTGTTCCATGGCTATTCTGACATCAACTGCTTTTTTTTTCTTAAATCCCTTTATTGGTTACCTCTGCACAACAGCCAGGCAGTTTAAATTAATGATATTCATGGTGATGTTTTAGGGAGATTTATTGAGGCCCCCAGTGTGTGAATTTCTCCTTGAAGTAACAAATTTAATGGTGATAGTTCTATGTCCTCCTCCCCAGCATGAGCAAACCTCAAGGTTATTTTTCTCTAAGTCTGTGTAAAAAATAGGGAACTGCCCAGCATACATTGTGCTCCAGTGTATTAGTAAGCTACTATGTTGTTCATAAACATTAATTGTGATGTAATTTAAGGAACAGGTAATCAAGGTTTATCCTTGGTGAGTGGAACAAGGCAGTTTGACCTATCATAACTGTAAAGTAATGAATCTCATGTGTATGTTGCAAATAAGCCAAATCACAAGAAATTTGAATAAAAAGTTTATCCAATAACTTTAGATGTTTTGACATGATCAGTAAGGAAACTTAAAGAATTTTATTTTTCAAATAGATGATAAAGATACTTTAACAATGAAAACCAGCAACATGAAATTGATGGACATGGTAACTACGTTTAACAACAAATGCAAAGAGAAGGATGTGGGTGAATGAATCATTTGTCACCAAGCCAAGTACAAGCAGAATTACAGATGTTTGGAGACAAAATACCACAGGTGTATAAGAAAGAATCTAGATAAGGATATGTACTTTTTGTCAAATAGAACTGTGGGTAGACTTAATTTCCACAATTCTGCTGTATGGTCTCTCTTTCCCCCTCCCCCTTTCTTTGAGAAAGGAGAGTAAGATTATTTTGCAAACATTTGCTAGTTTTAGAGCTAAGTTGTGGTGTGGTGGCAAGACCCTGAAGGAAGTAAGAAAATGAGTTGTTCTCTACTTGAAAACAGACAATGTCTTTATTCAACCTATTAGATGCACTCAATCTATGTCTTAGTTTCTTAACTTTGATGCAATACTTACAGCCTGTTGTACGAGATTCTCTAAGCATTTAGTGTAAAGGTAATGATATCAAACCTTAACTACATATACCTAAAAAATAACACAGGTCAAAGAACAAAAATCTGAAATATTATGAACAATATTTGTGATCATAATGACTGTTTATTTGGTCTATATGAAGAAGATTGACTGAAGTTCTGACAATGAAAGTCAATGATACAAATAAATTTAAAATTTACAAAATTTGCACTTGAAAGTAGTCTTGATGTTTTCCATCTTGTGTTGTGTTAACATTTAAGTTTATCCCTCACAAAACCTAGGAAGAATAATTATGAAGCAATGTTAGAAAGTTGCGACATTTTTGATGTCCATTAAGTCACTCAAAATTTACAGATACAAGTATAGGTAACAATATGATAAGAGTGCAATTTGGAGTTAATAAACACAAGTTTATTTTTAGAGATGACAAAATTGCACAAGCCCATAGGGAAAGTACAATTTTTAGTCTTTGAAAAATTTACAAGTTCTTATTTCTAAGTGTGGACAAAATTTTGCAACAAGTGCTTGCTTTTTGTAATTTGCACTTGTGTTTCAACTTTGCACTAGTGTTACATGAAAAATGCACTAGTTTTCAGCTAATAAGAAGTGCATAATTTTTTTATGTATATTATTATCATCACAAAAACTGAAAACAAAACTGGTACAACAGCCAGTATTGTAAGTACCTTCTTTGATACTCTGTTTTTGTTCCACTTGGTTGTCTTTTCTGTAAGTTTGGGTCAGTATCTCCTTGTGGAACAGATGCCACCAGCTCCTCTGTGGTGGTGGGTGGTCTGCCATGCTTTTCTCTGATGGAGTTGATGGTATCGATGGGATAAATTCGAGCATGTGATTCTAAATATTTTAATACATACTCATCAGCATCAGTTATTCTGAAGCGGTGCTTGAAGATCTGTATCAAAGCTCCAATCTGAAAGTCAGCTGGGGTGTAGAACTCAGGATTATCAACAGATGAACCTGGTTTGGTGGCATGAGTTCGTTCAAGGAATTTTCCACCAATTATACCAGCATTTCTGACTGGAGGTTCATAGATTGTCAACATATCATCAGCCAAGCGGTAGTAAATGATAAAACGCCTGTTTTTGTCTTCAGGTCTGAAGCTTTCCTGAGAGAAAAAATGAATATTAAGTGAGTTGTTAAAGTCAATAAAATAAGTAGATAGTTTGTTGTTTAAGTTTGTAAGTCATTGTGACAAACAATTCACTAAACATGCTGGGAGGGGAGGGGGGGGGGAGATAACTTTGAATTCTTTGAAAGGCGAATTACCATTGTTGCAGCATATCGCAGCACTTTGTGATCATTTTCCAGCATCTTGATGAAATCTTTTTTAGGAGGCTGAGGTACAAGTGACAGGCAAGACTGTAAGCTGTCTTCAAGTGATCCAAATCCATTGTAAGGTGGAACATCCTATTGTAAACAAAGGAAAATTAACATTTTGCTTGAATTACAGATATGCGTGAACACAAACATCATTAACTTTCAGTCCCATATGAGATGTTTGGCAATTCCAATAAAAATTTTACTTTAAAACTGGTACAGTCTGGGAAGACTAATTTAATATATCATCACTGTTTGTGACTTTTGCACTCAACAAACCTACAGAAAACTTAAATTAGAAGATTATTGAACCCCTGTCAGAAGAAATACAGGAAAATTTATCTGGCTGAAGTATTTCATACATATCTGATGTTCAGTGAGGGTATAGCCTTACTGAACACAAGTAAATATTTACCTTTGGTAATGGCTCTCTGGGTAGTCCCTTCACATCAACTGAAGTGAAGTCAGTGATGCCAAATGTTTTCCTGTAGTAGTTCTTTGTGAACTCATCACAGTCATGCAATAACAATCTCCTTCCCAAAATGAAAAGAGTTTGCCCAACCATGAAGTCTCTTGGACTAAACCAGTCTTTGATTTCATGATCAGACAACTCCAGAACACATGAAGGAAATGAAGCTGTTGAAAAATAATAAAAGAATTTAAAGATATACCATACATGCTTCCACAAGGCCTCCAGTTTTAAGAATGTACTGCACTGCAATTAGTATATCCCCCTTAATTTGCAAAGCATTTCAATAGTGCACCCCTCAGCAAAGAATGAATTGCTGAATTAATGAGGACAGTGTATCACACTTATGTCTCAAATGATCTCAAGAGATGTTTAGAATCTCACACTAGCAATTTTTCTTAAGGTCATACTGAAGGTGTAAATTGAAAAAAGAAAAAACATGAAATAAGCCCCTTCTAGAAAAACTATCAGTGCCCTGACTTGACTAACAGCATATTAACCAAGGGCAATAGATACGTTTTCAGAAGTTAATGTACATAAAGTTCCTTAAGAAGGTTTTCTATCTAACACATCATGAGGATTAACTTACATTCCACATTACTTCTGTCTTTTGGAAGTTTTTGTCTGCAAACAAGTACAGGAAATGGATCTCGTCCATCATTTGCAGCATGGACCTCTCTAATCTCAACTGTGTCATCCACAAGGTAATAGTGTATGATCTGATGAAAAAAAGAGAACTAGCTGTGAGTCAAGCAACAATACATGCACTGATTTATTGACAATTACATGCATCTTCCAGTCTGGGGAGGATCTTGATAAAGTTAATCCAACAAAGATTAACTATTACTCACACAAGGCCGCATTTCTCCAAACATACTGTCTCTGTCATCCCAGACACAGTAAAATCTTAGGACTTTTCGATCCAACTCTAAGAACTGTTTCAGTTTGTCAAATGATGATGGAGTCTTGTAGCTACGTAGTGGCTGTTTGCGTGATTCTGTGTAGGGATCTGTTTCAGGTAATTCAGGCTGGTTCAGTTCTATTCCTTCACTGGCCATGTATTCCTACACCAGGAAAACAAGGACATTAGAATTTAAATGAATTGAATGATCTAGCTAAAGCTGACTTTGTTATAAAAGAGAGTGATGACTTTGATTCTTAGTTGAAGAGAGGGAAGCTGTCAAGTTATTCTTATTTTTCAGGCTTTTCTTTTCCAGTTTGTTGAAATAACTTCAGCTAACCTGTTGTGATCAACTCTATGTATGATTCATGTTTGAAACACCACACAATTCACTGTTATGTATCAAAGTTTTAGTTGGGTTCCTTGGCTCCATTCAAAACCTACTTAATCCATTACACCCAAACATCAGCACATGCATATTTTCCATACTGTTTTCTATACTCCAAAGGTGCTGACAAGGGGAATCAGTTTAGTTAAGAGATCCTTAAGTTGTAAGGATTCTGAATCAGATCCTTCAATCGTTGTAACAGAAATACATCTATCAGGCATTTTCTAAAGGAGAGATCATGAGTGGGATGGAACCAAAATTTAATACTCAGACAAGGTACTATTTTAGTTGGTTAAGAAAAAATTAAATAAAGAGAGTGCCAGATAACAAATATAATTCAAAGTTGCAGCTTTTTACCTTTGTCCAGGCATCACAGTCATAAAGATGAAAGACTTTTCCATAAAATGTGACGTTTATCCCAAGGTTAAGATCTTTCCAATGCCAGTATTCACCAAGGTCATTTTTTGGTAACCGTTGGCGCTTAATGAGTTTTCCCTGTGGAATTCCACTGAAAGTAAAATTCAGTTCTCATTACAGTATGTCCATCTAATACAACTATAATGCGAGGAGGTGTGACTTTTAACCCTCACTGGAATAATTCAGAGTAACAATTACAAATGTTGATTACCAAATGAGGCAGGTCTCTGAAACATTTTTCAAATTACAGCTGAAATTACAAGCAAGTCTTCTGTAGCAATCATCATTTGTCATTTGTCACTTTATACATTTTGGTGGGTGAGGTCTACAAATTAACAAAAACCCAAACACGCAAGGACCTATGGCTGGGCTTACCTGTTGTTCACTACGGGTTCAACAACCGCAATCGAGTCATCTTCCAGATAATAATAAACTTTCACTGGACGAACTCTGTAATATTCACCGGATGACTCGTGGACAGTTTGCTTAAAATATCCGAAAAATAGCAAAACTTTCTTATCAAATGCTACGTGAGCAGGAACGAAATCTTCTGGTGGTGCCTGAACTTTCTGTCCGTACGTTAAAGAAGGTTTGAGATTTGCCAGTTCATCCAGCTCTTCTTGAGTCAGTTTATTTACAGGAATCGGGTCTCCACCGATACCAATTTCGGGTGCTTTTGGTAGAGAGTAGCCATTCTTCCATCCAAGTGTCTGAGATCTATGAAATTTGGTTTTCTGAAAGTGAAGTAGGATTTGTTTGTACATTAAAGAAAAGTTACTTTTGCACTGCGGTATTTCATATCGAGGATAAAACCGCGTTTCACTCGCCACTTACCGTTGGATCTGTAAAGGCATTACCAGGAAGGAATGGAAGAGCCATAGTGTCTTTAAAGATAGCCCTCAATTCTACGTCGAGCCCTTGTCTCTGAGATTCAAATTGTATCACTAACAAACATGGCCGCTGCTGTTGCTATATGATAGTGCCTGTTGCCATAGTTTCTGTTTGGAGCACACGTATCGCTCCACCAGACTCATGGGATAGAAGATTTTTCACGAGAGGTTATACAAAAGACTGGAAACTAGTCTTAGGACGGGAAAATTTATGTAGATAAACACTGGACATTTACCGCCACAAAATGAATGCACATTTAGTAGGGTTTTTCTTTGTGTGGAGTCTTGTTCTTCGTCAAAATTGTACTTTTTAATTTTACCTTTAAGTAAATAGTGATAAGAAGGCTCAGCCATTTGTATAAAGAGGTAAGTTTCTAAAGAAACTGTGGTGCTATGCGGTGGGTGGGGGACAGGGGTATAAAATCATAATTTGGTTTATATCAACTGAGTTGATATTGTGATTTTGCCACCATAAAGAGATTTAAAAGTGGACGTTCTGAGCATTAGAGGGAAAAGATTCACTCTCTGTCAGAGCAAATCAATTTGCTTTGACAAAGGGGCTCTCTTTTCCCTTGGAAACTTGGTGAGGTTGGGGGGGGGGGGGTGGGGAAAGATGAAAATTGCTTAAGACGTAAATCAATAAAAAAAGGACATCCTGTTTCTTTAAAAAGTAGTTTATTAATATTAAAAATAACTTTTTGGCAATTTCAGACAGTTTTGGCATTTTTTTCTCCCAATTGTAGTAGTCCTTTAGAATTTACCCTGATTACTAACTTGTCTGTATCAATAAATGACTTGCACTCATCTGTGACACACAAATCTGGTGTGCACTAGTTGGAATTAAATCAGTCCAGTCAGTAATTCTCCTGATTAACACAACACAGTCACTATACCCATTAAACCATAAAAACAGTCCTGTAACCTCTTCCCAGGATAGGATTCCATTTCACAATGATCATTATAATAGAAAATTATTCTATTTTGCCCCTAATTTAATTATAAATTTTCCCTAGAAGAAATATATAGATTTAGTGAAAAATTATGCAAAATTATACATGCAAGTAAAATTGCACATGTGAGTATAGCGTCATCCAGCATCTGTTAATTACCACCTACACATTAATAAGTCAGGTGCTTATAGAGTGATTTCTGATTCCTTGGATGCGATGCTCAAGTTGTTGTCTTACTCCATGTCAGGGTCTGGACCCTTATTGAGTTCAGACTCATCCAAACTGTTAGAACTTGGCCCAACTATCTTTTCCTGTAAAGTAGTTAATAACACAGTCAAACTACTAGACGTGATGGAAACACAATCTACTTCATTCTTTGAAACTTTTATTTCCACCCAAACCTCTCAACCATTTTCAAACTCACAAACTTGTTTTATGAGCCAAATGGAGGAAAGGTTTCCAATATCTAGCTGCTAACAGCAGAAGTTCCATAGGTAGCATAAAATTAGCAGATGTAAAACTGATTTGCCATTGATTATGATATAACTGACAAAATATCAAAATGGGAGCTGTTGCTACTAGGTAATGGAAAAGAAAACTGATCAGAATTCAAAGCAGGAGGAAAAAGAGCTTGAGTCTTAAGGAACCATTTTTTTTAGTTTTAATTCATCACTTTTCTATAAACTGATGTATTTCTTTTCACTGCCATGTCAACTTTCTTGGACATGTGATCTCTTTACACAGCTCAGTAATCAATGCAGCACTTTCAAAATTACAAAAGGAGCATTACAAACAGCAACTCTCCATTACTTGATAAAATACAAATCAGCTGACAGGTAGCTCCTTTCTTCATACTTATATTGCAAGAAAAGGTAAAATTATCAAGCACCTTACTCAATATTGCAAATGGCAAGGAAAAGTTGCTGGGGAATGACATGGCAAATCATGTCACAATTCCACTGAATCAATAACCAGAGCTGACATAACCATTGTTTAATAGCAAAAGTGTTACTTTTTAATCTTATTAGCGACAGACTCATTACAGGAGACTGCCTAACATATGTTATTGAAATACCTAAATATACTGATTTTAACCAAAGCATCCTCTCTCAATGCATAAAGGTGTTCAAACGAGCATACATGAACATTTTCTCCCAAACCTCAAAGAAATTGGTGAGATAGATGTCTGCATAAAAGCATCAGTAATCATGTTGTGTAAGCCAGATGACTCTCCCAGAATGAAGGGAAAATGATTTGATTGTCTCCTACCACAGATATCAACTTAAGTGTTGGAAGATAGTTACATCGTTGAAAGGAAGAGCAGTTTATCTTCACTAAATACATAGCAGACAAGACAACTAGGACCCCAGGACAGAAAACAGTTGCAAGAACCAAGTTCTTTTATGGTTTAGAGACAAGAACAGCACTAGCATTCTCTATGATACAGATTTTAGTTATTATTAAAAATTATGCTAGAACACTATCATTACTGACAGGGTTACAAAGAAATCTCTCTTCCTAATCTCTTTAAGCAGAGAATTCAGATTTACACAGGATTATATTAAAGTTGGACAATCAGTTAATGAAAAGTAAAGTTAATCATCTCTCAAAGATATTAGAACTCTTCACATCAATCCCTAGAAACCTATGTACAATTGAACACCAAAGTTTCTTCCCATTTACAGCAAATCAAGTATTTATTAACACAGAAGAAAAAAACTCTTCTCCTCTTAATGACAAACAACAACACTGTCACTCAAGGCCGTTTAATAACAGTTCACTAAGTCTATATAGCATAAAAATATTTCAGTGAAATACCAAACAGCTATGAAATGTGTTCTATAGAAATCCTTTCTCTGAAAAATCTTATGTTTAAATTAACATTCACTTAAATAGGTAGTGATGAAAACACTTTAAATGGTTCCTACTATCAAATACTGTACCTTTTAACATGAGAAATGAATTTTATATGACCCCAAATTATTCTCACAGTGTTAGGGGTGATAGCAGTCAGCTCAACACATACATTATTTTTTCAGTTAATAGTTGAACACTATTCTATTGACAATCCTGTCTCAGACAGCAAACCTCTTCAAAATCTTAAATTTCTGCTACTTCTTAGAAACCAGTGATACAAGTATTTTTACCTTCTGCTTCATTTGTGCCACATGATTCAGTGGATCAATTCATGTGCTGTGTCTACTTTACTTCCTCAAGATTTAATACTATTTATTAAAACTATTAAGCAAAGTTAAGGTTGAGATTAATTTGACAGTCCTCATGATAAACTGATGTCATTATTGGGTGAAGATGGAGGCTGACTTGTGGTTAATTGGCCTTTGTTTGAGCTTCCCAGCATCTTAAACTATATCAAGAGAGTAATATTAGAATTATCTGTTAGAATTAAGACGATTTAGTTCATGTATTTATTCATCTTTTAAATTAATATATCATAGAGTCATTCTAATAAACATCAAAATGAAAAACTTATTTTACTGAACACAACAAACAAAAGCAATAAGTTTCAGAGCAATGCTAACAAAATCAGTTTCATAACATTACCCTAATTAATAAAATAGTTTCAAAATAATAAAAATAATACGATTTTCTAAACAGCAGTTGTAGTGCGACAAGAGATTAAAAGAATAACAGATTTGCCTTCATTAAATAATACTAAGTACAGAAAGTTTTCTTTAAGGTTAAGGTGAGTTCAAAGTTCTACATTTCCAGGACAAAAAAAAAAACAGAAAATATCAGAATTATTCAAGAACAAAAGACAGTGGTAACCTGTGTACTACAAGTATTGCAGCCTAATTTCTGATGAAAAAAATGTATGATCTTGTAATAGAAAACTATCATTCAAGTTATTCATATCTTCACTAAACTAGGCTATTTATTTGCTCTCCTGATCAAATGATTTCACAAAACACATTTGCCAAGAACTAATGCCGCCTTGCAGATGAATGATAGAAATATTCATATGCTCCTCATCAATAATGATTAAATATCTTAATAGGATAACCTGTCCTTTGAAAAACTGGATAAATTTTTAATAGTTGTTGCACTTTCCTCCTGTTGGAATTTCCATTACATTACCATAGCTCAGAACTGTTATATTTCACACAAAATTATTTTCAGACCTTCTGGATAGTTTTTATTAACAAACGGCTGACGCAGACATTAAAATTTTCTGATAGAATGAATTCTTGACAATTCCTAATTCAGAGTCCCAGTTGTTAAGGCTACTTGCTATGCACTGATTACATCTGTCGCCAATTCAAAGCATGGTTTGTTTCATTCATACTTATCCCTTGGACAGTATAAACCACCTTTTCAAAAGCTGTCCTAATGATATATCTATCAATTGGGAGAGTGTTGTCCAAATAAGTAATTACAGTATACAGTGGAACAAGCTATCCACCCTTCAAAAACCAAGAATGAGTGACATGCCAAAAGAGCCTGAATTGGTGATTAAATACAACAGAAAGTGGAGTGCGGTTACCTGGGAAATTCGAAGTATATTTTCATCAATTTTAAATAATCAATGTGCCATACCTTAAGAGTTGAAGAAGCAGACACAACTTTGCTTTCCAAAGATTGAAACATCGAGGATCCCCTAAAATGACAATTAAAGTAATACTTTCAACATATTTCATGCAGGGTAACCTTTCTCTGTACTGTCATTAAGTAATCACAATTAATTATCTTTTAGACATAAATTATCATAATTAATTATAATCTCTCTTATTCCAAATTATATTGTTAGCCATTATTAACTGAATTTGTTTCAAGGATAAGTAACTTCAAGCTGCTCATTATCCTGCATGACTCAGTGATGATGAAACACATAGTACCTTATTTCTCCCAGTTTCTTGGCTGTTGCTGATCCAACATTTCTTGCCGCATTAGCAGTCCTTGATCCTGCATCACTTAACACTGTTTTGGTTGCTGAGGCACCACTGCTCAGTTTATTGTAACTAAAAATAACAAAAAAAAGAAAAGAATGAAATTAATACAAAATTCTTAACATATGTTCCGATTAAGATTATCATTTCTGTACTAACAAACTTCTATCACCATCATCATTATCATTTCTAACTATATATTTAAAAAACAAAGCATGTTAGTC